AAATCAGTCTGACTGCAACATGGAGAATGGGCTGAAGGTAACCATGCAGATCTGGAGATGAATGCAGAGTTGGAGCAGTCACCCAAAAGATGACAGTAGCCAGGACTAGGGTCATGATCATGGATATTGAGGGAAGTATAAGGATCCAAGAGCTGTTTAGGAGGTAGGATCAACAGGACCTGGTAATGGATCGAATGAGTGAAGGAGAGGGAAAAGGCGAGGATGCCCCAATCATCAGGCCACAAAAAGTAACTTACAACCTGGCAATTCTACTCTGTTCCACAGTGTTCCTGAGTGATGACTAACCAGTTTCTGAAAAAGATTTGGACTCAGTCTCACCATGGTGAGAGGAATTCTGATGGAGGGCTCTGAGTCAACATATCTGCAAAGAATAAAGGCAGGCTTAGAGAGAGAAAATGTCAAGAATTAAACAGCCACTTGTCTTGACAGCATTAAAAATAATCTGTCACCTGCTCCTAACTTTGTTCTTGGTTACAAAGGCCATTGTTTGAGTGAACAAAGAGGGTTAAGGAATTTGGAAGAACTATTTACCCAGAGAAACTGATAAGAGCTCAGGCTAGAGGAGACTTGCATGTGAATGAGGAAGGGGGTGGGCAGCTACAAACACAAACATTCTGTGCACAGCAAATAACACAACAGCTCAAAATCTCATTCACTGGAGAGAACATGGTTTTCAGCAACTGCTGTTGGTAGTTTCGGATCTGAAAATGACCTGGCCTTTTACTAAGAGCCATTTCCCATCTGATGAATCAAAAATTCAATCCAAGGACAATAAACTGGTTAGTTGAGGACTTAGGGTCTCCACCTTCCTCCATCAGAACCTTGCCCCAGCGTGCCCTCCTCTCAGCCACTCCCCATGCTGCCCAAAGTCACACTGGACTCTGCCAAGCATTCACCACATGCAGACTGAGGTCACTCCATATTATGAAAAGTCCTTAGAAAAAGGGAGAGTTCAAGAATAGAATCTGAGTATACAAAAGCAAGATTTTCTTCAGAGTTGTTTTGATTCTGGTTCCTCTCATTGGCATACTCTGCTACACTCAGAATGCCTGTTCTTACATAGGTGATTTTCCTACTGGAATTCCTTCCCTAAACTAATTCTGGGGAACTTTAGTTCCCATTAACTAGCTAGTTGTTTTAGGTTGTGAATATTCTTCTCTATTTGACCTGACCCTTAACTCATGGGCCCTACACAGGCCTACGGATAGGATTCAGCCAATTCAGTAGGAAGATTCAGTTGACCCCAGCAACCAAGAGTGCCAGTTAGCCATGCCAAGAGCCAAATGGGAGAGGGATAATGCTTAGCTCTCTAAAGCCAAACCCTAGAGGCTCAAGCCAAAATCATCCCTACAAAAAGAAAACAGACTCAGCCATTAGTGAGGGACCCAAGGAGGCAAACAGAGTGGAAAAAGGAGCGGAGATGTTTAAAGGAAGTGCTCCCTGAAGAATGAAATTCACTGTGTTCTACAATAAGTTAGCTTCTACCAAATGTTAGCTAATCTGTGACAGATTGCACCATACAATGAAACATTGTTTTGAAGTAAATCTTCCCCACTCCATAAAAATGACATTTTATGGCTTTTCTTGCTAATTTTTCACCCATTTAGAATCTGCTTGACAGAGAAAGTTGACATAGTTAAATAGTATTAAGTCCTCTGAGCTCCCTCAGCTGGCAAGAAGCCCCCACCTGCTGTTATGTAGATTAATCCAAGTTAAATATTTGTAACACACACACATAGGGAGAGTCTGCCTTTTGTCTTCCAGTTGTCTGGAGTCACAGAAATCAATTTGATTTCATCCAAAAAAAAGAAGAAAAAGAAAAAAAATCCTACACCCTGGGGTTATCATATTGACTTAAACATATGGCATATCATGATGCCCCTGCATGATGCATTTACCAAATGGAGGAAAAAAACAACTCCCAAGGGCCAGAGGCCCATTAGCAACAACTTCCTATTTATCAAATTTGGGTGGCAACAAGGGGATGAATTACTGAGCTTCTATGTGCACATCAGTCCCCTCTGCTCCTGTGTATAGAATAGATGTGTAGTCACTAATTGGTAAGAGAAAATACTATCCTTGTTTTCCTTCATTTGGAATCTCTGACACTATTTTGGGTAAGACTCAACAACTTCCCAAATCTGGAAAATAGGCACAAAAAACATTTTTAAACTTAATTTTCGGAGACCAGGCTTACTTGGCAACATGATCTACTAGGAGTTTGAGATCTGCAGCCATGAGGTCTGTGTTGAAGTCCCTGCTTGGCTCTTATTAGCGGGCTAACCTCTGCCAAATCCCTGGCATTCCAGTTCCTAAAGCTGCAGAAGAAACGGTAACGTCTGCCACACATGTATCAAGTGTTGGGGCCAGGCGGGAAGGGAAACTCCTCAAGATGGCGGATACCCCAAAATGGCTGAAGTTCCTGTCACTACCTCCACTTGGGACACCAATGACCTGCTGACAGCTTGACACAGACCCTTAGACCTCTCCTTTGGACTTCCCCAACCGAACCCAATGCCCTTCAAACCCCAGAGGAGGAAGTCACCTTTGACTGGCCGAATTGCAATCCTTCCTTTGCATAGTGAGGGTCACTCTGACTGGTTGGATTGCCATCCTTCCTTTGCATATGAGCCGACCAATAGGAAACCGTTCTGCCTTACAACGTTATGTAAACCCCCTACCACCTTGTCTTGGCGTGACTTCCTCTCTTTCCCTCATGAGTCGTGGAACCTCGCCCGAGGGTGCCTGCAATAAAATCTGTTCTTGGACCTTCGCTTGCCTTGGCAGTCTCATTTCCATTTAGTTACTAAAAAAACCTAACACCGAGGATCATGGGGGTCACGCCAAGTGCAAAGTGCTGGGCAACTGCCTTTCACTCACCTTCTGGAGGTTACCCAAGGCTCAGAAATCTAGCCAGCATGAGCAATGGGTTAGGAGTGAGGATATTCCAGTCTCTCACTCACATCTGTCACAACAGTTTCCCATCAACAAAGTGGATAAAACTCCTCCTTTCCCTCACACGTCTCCTCCTGAAGACCCATTGCTGGTGAGTGGAATAGGATACTGAGAATCCGTTTAGCTCAAGGACCACTAACCTAATCCCTCAATTTTGTAGCAGACTGGAACACCTGGGGAACTTTTAAACATAAAAAGTAAGGAATTTGGAAAGAACTATCTACCCAGAGAAACTGAGGAGACCTCAGGTTGGAGAAGATTTGCATATGAATGAGGAAGGGGATGGGCTGCTCCAAATACCAACATTCTTGAAGTGCTGCAAACAACTCAGAGGCTCAAAATCCCATTTGCTGAAAGGAAAACAGTTTTTAGCTGCAGCAGTTTTTTTCAAAGCCCTTGAAGTGGCTCCACTATATAGTAAAATTTGGGAACCTCAACCTAACTCCCTCTAGAGTCACCCAAGTGTTCCTTTCAACCTCTTGGTTCTATACTCTGTCCTAGTATCAAAGCCTAGGACACTAAATTTTGAGCCTCTGTGCCTCCCTCCAGTAAGCCTGGGAGCCATTTACCCTATCACTTACCTCCACCTGGGAAATGTGAACCATGAGTAAGTAGAGGGCACCCAGGGAATAAGGTGGTGAGCCTCAAGTTGGGGAGAGCACAGGCACTCCTTTCCACATTGGGTGAACAGCAGGGTCACATAAAAAGAGATTTTGAGGTCAAATAAAATTGGGCTATTCTCAGCTTACCAAAGTTAAGCAGATTTCTTCATTGCAGGACTTCTCAGATTCTTTAAGTTTGATTATAAGTCTGTGAGAGAGGATTGTGACAGCATTTCTCCCCATGGAAACTTCCATTTTCTCAGAGCATGTCAAGGACTAGTGTTTCAAAGAATATACTCTGAGAAACTTAGAGCAATGTTGGGGGTAGGGAAATTTGGCAGTATCTGGAGACACCCTTGGTTGTTACAGCTGGGAGTTGTTTACTGGCATCCAGTGGACAAAGGCCAGGGATGCTGATCAACATCCAACATGCAGGAGAACCCCCCATGACAAAGATTTACCCGTCCCAGATATCAATAGCATTGCAACTGAAAAGCCCTGGCCTAGAGTGACCTCTTCTCCTACAGGCCATCCTTCATGCCATAGCTTCAGAAATGGAAGACGATGAAAGAAAAAGACAGGAGAGAGCAGACAGGAGTAGGGGGGAAAAGGAGGAAAATAATGAAAGAGGAAAAACAGACAATAATGAAGAGGCTGGGGGGTGGGGGACAGAAGAAGACAGATTCATAAGTGCTAAACTCAGAAGTGACCAAGATGTCCTCCCGCAGGTTGAATGGATAAACAGTGGTACAGCCACATGGTGGAATATTACTCAGCACTAAAAAAAAAAAAAATGAACTATCAAGCCATGAAAAGACATGGAGGAAACTTATACACATACAGCTAAGTGAAAGAACCAACCTGAAAGGCTCCATACTATATGTTTTCAGTATACAACATCTGGAAAAAGAAAAACAGTGGACACAGTAAAAAGCTCAGTGGTTGCCAGGGGGTTAGAAGGGCAGGGTGAAAACACAGAGCACAAAGGATTTTTAGGGACGTAATACTCTCATACTATTAACAGTGGATATGTGTCATTATCCGTTTGTCCAAACCCGTGGAATGTACGATACTGAGAGTGAACTACAATTGAAACCGCAAACTCTGGGTGATCATGGGGTGCCACTGAAGGTTCGTCAGTTGTGACACTGCCCCACCCTGTTGGGGATGTGGACAACCCTGAGGCCAAGCATGCCTGAGGGTGGGGATCTATGGGAACTCTCTGCACTATCTGTTCCATTTTGCTGTGAACCCAAAAACTACCAGAAGGAAAAAGAAGCCAGAGCAGCACACTGATGTTAACTGGCCCTAGCCTTCTCATGCCTTTATTACTTCCCCGCGTTTAGGAAGGTGGTAATTCTGCTCCTCAGCAGGCACACACTGGTGGCTGAAGACCAGGAGACAAGTGGAAGGCAGGAAGTTTTCTTTGGCCGAGTTTCCGTGCCCAGTGCTCCTTGGAGGCCTCAGACTCTGCTGGGCTTCTTGGGGTCCTTGTTCTTGGCAGGCATGAAGGCATAGAGCTCCTCAATGAGCATCTCCATTCGGGCAGTGACCTCAGTCACCGTGTCGATGACCAGCTTTTGCTGCAGCTTCAGCTTGTTGTTCTCCCACAGGGCCTTGTTCTCCTCCTGGAAGATTCTGTGCTTCTCGCGAAGCACGTGAAGGGCCCTGTTCTCCTCCTGCAGGAGGCGGTTCTCCTCCCGGAGGATCTGCAGATTCTGGTTCTCCTCCCGCAGGGCCTGTAGCACCTGGTTCATCTCTCTCAGTAGCTCCAAGGATTGGCTTCCATCCGGCAGGCCCGAACTGGCTTTCATCTCTTCATCCCCAGAAGACCCAGACAGGTTACCGACCATCTGGCGTAGGACCCGGAGTGTCTTGGAGTCCTCCTGGGGGGTCGACGGCCCCTTGGACTCCTCAAAAGGCGAGGAGAGGCCTGTGCTCTGGTCTGGCAGCAGCCCAGGCACATGGGCCTCCTCATGAGGCAAGGGGGCTGTCTTGTTTTCCTCCCCGGGGCCTACCTTCTCCTCCGTCTGCACCCAGTAGGCCTTCCTCTGCTCCAACAGCTGCTGCAGGGCCCTGTTCTCTTCCCTGAGGAGCTGAAGGGTGCTGTTCTCCTTGCTGCGGTGCATCTGCAAGGCTGTGTCCTTCTTCACCACCTCCAGGGCCACATTGTCCTTGTGCAGCAGTGGCAAGGATGCCCTGCTCTCATCATGGCCCAGTGTGGCCTTGTGCTCCTCCCAGAAGACCTGCAGGATCTTGTTCTCTTTCCGGAGGGTCCTGTTCTCCTCCCGCAGGGCCTTGTTCTCCTCCCGTAGGGCCTTGTTCTCCTCCTGCAGCAGGTACTCCTTGGCCAGCCTCTTGTGGTGCAGCTTATGGTGGAAAGAGGAGGATGGAGAGAAGTACGGGGACTGGAGGCGGCAGTTTTCATTCACCCACCGCCCATCCTGGAAGACAAACATTTCATCGCTGAGCTGCACCCGAGGAGGGTTGTAATCCAGCTCGAGGTCTGCCTGGGATGTGGGGCGCTCCATGGGGTCCAAGGGCACAGAGGAGAAGCGATTCAGCGGGTAGGAGTGCTGGCTGACCACTCTGCGGCTCAGCCTGGGCAGGGCAGCCTGCCTGGCACAGCGTGGGGTGGGGTACAAATTGTGGAGCCTCAGGAAAGGCTCAGCTGTGCCCCTCTGTGGGAGAGAACAGAGAAGCCCAGAGTTAGTCAAGGAGCTAACATACCCAAGCTTGCTGACCCAATAAGAGGCCAAGATAACCCACAATTAACTCAGTTTGATAGTCCGGTATGGCCACAGAGGACACTTTTGTTTGGTCTCTTGGGAGTCCTCATGAGAAAATACAATTGATCCTCATTCTTCACAGCAGCTCTGTTTTGTAAAATTAACTGCAAAGACTAAATCACAAATACCAAACCACTGCTCCTAGGAGAAATGTAGGGTTAGGTTCCTGACACCCTTCAGCCACGGTTTTGTCAATCAATACATAACTTTGTATTTATATGTATTTCTGTTGAAAGACATCTTACTTAGTATGCATTATGAATTCATTCACATTGAACTTTCAGCCAACAGCACTGTCTCTCATGCCTGAACAAAGCTTATCTAACCCATGTTTTTTCTCTATAAGGCACATCACACCTTCTTCCATTTAGGAACACTGGACAGACCTTCAATATACTTGGGGGCCATTTGAAACCATGAAATCACCCCAAGAAAAGCACAAATAAACTGTACGAAGGACCCTATTCTACAGTATGAAAGCAGAAACAAGGCTTCTTAGCTAGAATGTGCACATCAGGTGACTTAAATTTCTCATCACTCTGTGCATGTCTGTAAATGACCACCAAACCAAAGTGCCACAGGTATTGACTGGGTGGTTACAGATTTCAGTGAGTGGACAAATACACACATAGGGAATCCATGACTAATGGCAACTGCATATGTATTTTACAGGTTGAAAGCATTGATTTGGAGTCAACAAATATTTTGATTTCAGGCCCCACTATTTTATCAGTTACAAGGATATGGCAAGTTATTTGAGTTTCAGTTTCTACATTTTCAACTTGGTATAACTACATCAACTGCTTTGCCTCACAGAGGTATTTTTAGGATTAAAAAAGATTATGTATGAAAGCATGAAACATGGGCTCTGGCACACTTCTGTCACCTTAGAGGAGGAATAAACACTCTTCTCAATCAACCCCAGCTGCAGATACAGACCCATAACAGGCATAGGCAGAGAAGCAGCATGAATCTCCCCAAGAGACACCCAAATCACTGTGTCTGAAATGGTGGTGCTGTCCATTAGCAGAGCAGCATTTCTCCCTTGTCCCATTCAGGCTTGTCCTTCACTCTTAGCAACCCTGAGGTCTGTCCTTCCAGCAGCCCCTTTCATATCCACCAGCAGAGTGTTAGGCTCAAAGCAGAGTCCAGCTGGCAATTTTGGAAAAGAAGGGTACCATCACGGACATATCACTGAGCCATGAGGGTTCAACACAGTTGTTGATAATGAAGACAGCAAAGGATACCAAAGAATTCATAGAGAGGAATTCATGATGGTGGCCCATACATCTCAAGATATATATATATAGGGGATCAGAGCCACAGAGCTTAAATCCAGTAAGCTAGTAGCTCTTATACTTTCCATTTTAGAATAATCAGCTGAGTGTGTTTAAAATTGACTTATTGTTAAAATTTATTTATTTAGTTTTGAGAGGGAAGGAGCGAGCATGAGTAGAGAGAGAAGGTCAGAAGGAGGGGGAAAAGCAGACTCCCCCCTGAGCAGGGAGTCCCACACGAGGCTAGATCCTGGTACTCCAGGATCATGACCTGGACCAAAGGCAGATGCTTAACCAACTAAGCCACCCAGGCACCCCTTAAATGCAGATTTCGGAGTTCCCTACTTGTAAGACTGATTCACTTAGTATGGATTATGCTCCAGGAATCTGCATTTCCAATCAGCTCCCTCAAGCAATTCTGGCTACAGGTGGTCAGGACAGTTCTGAGTCAGCTGGAATGTGCAGTCTTCCTAGTTGGAGGTTACACCAGGGTTAAAGGCTAAGGTATCAAGACTGGGGGTCATAAGAATTCTCATCCTCATTCTGTTGCTGATGGGCAGTATGAAACTAGAAACTTTTACCCTGTCTGAGACCCAAACATTTTACTAGTAAAAAAAGAGAAAGCCAGACTCCCTGATCTTAAAGGCACCTTCAAGGGGTGCCTGGTGGCTGAGTTGGTTGAGCATCCAGCTCTTGGTTTTGATTCAGATCATGATCTCATGGGTCGTGATCTCAGGTGTTGTGGGATCAAGCCCCACATTAGGCTCCATGCTCAGCAGAGAGTCTGCTTGAAAATTCTCTCCCCCTGCCCCCACTCGTACAACATGCACTCTCTTTTTCTCTAAAATAAATAAATCTTTTTTTAAAGACACCTTCTAACATTTAATGTCAATGAAATATACCGTAAAATGGAAATAAAAACACATGCCCTGTTTGGTTCACCACACTGTTGTAAAGATTGAATGAGACAACGATTGCAAAAGTGTTTTTAAAACTGCCAGGTGCCATGGAAATGTAAGGTATTGTAATCAAGAAATGTATAATTTGCTAATGGAAGAATTCTGAGGTGTATTCAGAAGGTGGTGAACAGGTGGAATGTGTCCTGGAGAAGAGGCAACAATTGCAGCAATGAATTTAAATAAAAATAAGATCATGATAGCTATTTCTAAATACACACAAAAAGCATTTCATCTTAAGTATATTGCAATGTTCTCCAAATATCAATTCCTCATTTCTTAGTTATTTTCACAATTTTACAGATAGAGAAGATAGAAAACAAGTCACATTGTCTGCATTAGATATATGGGTATAGAGAGAAATATAATTTGCAGTGTATCACGTTGGCTAGGATTCTTTAAGACCCAAAGAGCTAGATAAATAGAAGTCACAGTTCTATGCTATTAACTTTGCAATAAGCACATGTCATTAACTTTATAAGGATGTGTTTAATCTTCTAGATAGTGAGGGTAAAAGAACATTCTGCAATCAGAACGAACTTACTTTAAATAAATCCAGCCTCCATGGTTTTCATATTTCTCAATTTGGAAAGCACATTGGCTCTTGTGGCTGAACCTATGACCAGACTGAACCTCACTGTGGGCAGCCCAGCCCATTTAAAGTCCCTGGGTCCCAGACTTCTGGGAAGATTCACCATAGTCACTAAGGAGTGGATCATGAGAGGACCTCTCCATCCAATGCGCGCCCCCCCCCCCACAGCAGGATCTCATTCTAGAAAACATTACCATGGAAATAATGGCTTTAGTCAACAGTGTGTATCCCAATCTTGAGAAGAAAAAGGAAGAGGGAAACAAATATTGAGCTCCAATTTCATGCCAGGCCTTAAGCTGAGCATTATGCCCACAGAATTAATTTAACCCTCACCATACTGACTTAATGTTGTTATTATTATTCCCATTTTGCAGATAGAGAAACAAACTCAGAATCTAAGTGAAATTATCAGTGTGAGTTCACCCACTAATGTCACAAACCCAGTCCTGGCTGCCTGAAATTACAATGTGTGAATCACGCACATCGGAAATCACCATGGATTTCTCAAAGGACTTGTAGTAGTTGGGGGTGAAGATAGCTTTGTTAAATTTGTACTATGGAAAACTTCAAACAAACACAAAAAGAGAGAGAAGAGTCCATTAAACATCCATGTACCCCTCACCCAGCTTCTGCAGTTACCAAGTCCAGGCCACTCACATATTTCAACTGTACGTCCACCCAACTCCACCACCACTCCCCACCCATTGCATTGTTTTAAAGCAAAGTGTATAGACATCGTGTTATTTTACCCATAAATACATTAATATGTATTCTTTTGACAAATCGTCAATACCATTAACAATGATCACTTAATATGGGCAAATACTGAGTCAATGTTCTAATTCCCCTAATTTTCTTATTTCTATTTGATAATTATAATTATTTCATTTCAATGAGAGATGCACACATCTTGATCCAATTGAACATCCAAAGATAAATCACTAATGCTTTCTACTGTTTATTACTGCTCAGAGTATTCATGATGGTCTTTAACTCATCATATCCAGCTGCCTTTATTCTGCTTTGGGTACCCGAGGAGTTTTCAACTGTCCTCTCAGCAGAAATGCACTAATTAAAACCTTACCATGTGGGTGACAGATCCCTCCCTAGCTATCAACAATCTGGATATTTGGACTCGTATCCTTACACATGCCATCAGGTGACCTTGGTCACATCCTCTCACCCTCTGACCTTGGTTTCCACATCTGTATAATGAAGGGTCGGTGACATGATCTCTAAATGTCTTCTTGGTCTAACATTCTCTGGTCTAGTGGATCCATGTTTATAAATGGGCACCACTATGGCCTCAGCTGCCCTCTTTACCATCCTTAACATCTTGCCCCCTTCCTTTAAATGGCCAATGCTTCCACACAGACTCTATGCCTTCTCTGTTACATGCCCACAACACCCGATCCAGACAATGCTGACAGGCTAATAGGTCCCCTCTTTACTTCCTTCCCCAGAACCAAATTCCCCTTTCACGACTAGTCTTGTATCTTCCCTCCAATTCCCAGACAGGATCAAGGAGGTCAAGTCCAGCGTTGCCTCGTTAGCCTAGTGTCTTAGAACACAAAAACATTTAAAAATTCTTTAGCAGTCATGGATTTATTTTCATGATTATTAGAAGAACATACCTGTTTTATCAAACCCAAAATCCTATGAGTAGTATCAAGATGAGGTTAAAGTAAATCAGTACCTTCTTCCGAAAGTGAGATTTATAAGGAAAAATACCAAATATCCAGGCATTTCAGAGACTCCAGGAATCATGATTAAAGACAAGAAAAAATGTTAAGTCTAATAAATTCTTTCTCTCCCCAGTTCCAGTCAGACCTAGGTGGACACAGTCCTTAAATAAAGGCTCCTTTCTGGCCTTGTAAAAACTTCCCACCCTAAATCTGTTTCTACTCTGAATATTCTTGCACCAATTCTTGCTCCACATTTGTGTTGATCAATCAACTAACATTAATTTGGCACCTGGTCTCAGACCCTGCCTTCAGTGAACTTCTGGTCAATTTGAAAATTCAGTGAGTAGCACCAATTACTGCTTGGTGCAAATGAGGGAAGTCAAAGAGCAGTAGGCAATAACGTAGGCTGTACAATATGGGGGTCAAGGGACCAGGCATCATAAAATCCAAAAAGAGTCCTAGCTTTACACTGTATGAGTGTGTGACCTTTACAAAATCGTTTCATTTCTGTGCCTACATTTCCATATCTAGAAAATGTAGAGGCTAACATGATTCAGAGCCACCCTGTATGTTTGTACAAATAACCAACTTTAGGGGATCCCTGGGTGGCTCAGCGGTTTAGCTCCTGCCTTCAGCCCAGGACGTGGTCCTGAAGTCCCAGGATCGAGTCCTGCGTCAGGCTCCCTGCATGGAGCCTGCTTCTCCCTCTGCCTGTGTCTCTGCCTCTTTATCTCTCTGTGTATTTATTCTCATGAATAAATAAATAGAATCTTTAAAAAAAATCAAAACAAAATAACCAACTTTAGAGGGTGCCAGTCACAACTGCTGTTGCAGTGCACAACCTGTATAACCATCCACAAACAACCTTACTAACATCTGCCCTATTTCTTTTAGGGAGTTTGTTTCACAGCCCAAAAGTGAAAGGAGAATATGTCACCATTGGTCATGGGTTCATTATACCTTTCCATCACCTTGTTAGGAGGACAACCAAGAGACTCTTCCTCAGGAGTGCCGTGTTCACTGCTGTAACCTAAGATGCATTAGTGCCAGATCCAGAAAGGGGCTTGGGCACAGACATTTCCCTCCCAGAGCCCGAATCCCACCTGTGGATGGGAATCCCTCCTTAGCATAAGGCCTGGCCCTCTCCCTGGCATCTCCTTTTTAAATACAAGTGGTCCTGCAAGGGAATTGCTTGAAACCACCAACTACCAAGTGCCTTTGTCTATTGGCCTTGTGGCAAATGGAGAGCATGGAGGAAGAATGGCCAATGGGAAGGGGGTGGGCGAGAACAAAGGGGAGGTGATAAGACCAAGGTCTCTTACTGATACTGTGGAGTTTCTAAGGAACAGGACTCTCTGAATGGGACCTTCCAGGATGGAGTAGGCAGGCTTAGCTGACATGCTCTACAGTTCTCTCCACTCCTGGAAAACTATGGCTACCACAGACTAGAAGAGATGTCCAAATGCCCCAGTAGACTCCAAATCTGCTGACCAAGTTTTCTGTAAACACCTACTCTCCCAACATTCCTGAGGGTTACAATCAGAGAACATTAGCCATGTGAGGTACTATTCAGGCATGTGGAGCTGAGGCCCCAGGATGCTGAGAGGAAGAGCCCAGTATGCTACTAATTTTCAGATAGAGGGACAAGGCTGAGTCTCATTTTCCGAATGTTAAATTAACTCAGCTGCCTAGCACCATGATACAGCCAACGTTGGTTTTAATAAATGCTAACAGGCAAGAGGGTCATTCACAGGTCAATGTGAATGATTTTGAGAGAATTATAAAATTAACAGCAATAAGGATAAAAATGTCACCATATGTGATAGTTTCAGGTAATTGTTTAACGCAGAAACTCAGGGGAAATCTCAGAAATCTCCTGGAATCTTTCTCCCAAATTGGGAGAGAGATGGGAATTGTCAGCAGATTCCATAGCTTCTTATTCTTGAAGAAGCCCAAACAAAGGAGAGTGAGAACAAGAGTCCTGCATGGAGCACTGGAAGGTGCTGTTGGAGCTCATTCTGATCTGGTATAGACCCTTTGCTAATGATCTAGCCATAAACAATCCCTTCATGAGAAGTCACCCAGAGCACTCATCAGGGAAATAAGGAAGCCTGTGAGAACGGGATGGTCATGCGCAGAAGGAACCAGGTCGGCTAGCTTGGGCAAGAAATAACAGTGATGGCTGGCAAGTTAATGCACTGTTGGGAAATAGATCCAAAACCACAAATATTTAATGTGAGAAGAAAAACTGGAAAGCGATAAGACCTGAAAAGACCTAAGGGTGATAACAAATAGTGAACCACAGGCATTTGCAGTGTAACTGAAAAGCCCAAATGCCCAGCATAACTGGGAGCTGGGAAGCCAGAGGCACTTTCTGGAGACACAAAAACGGATGGGCTGCGTCCCAGAATAAAGCAGCATGTGGCAAATCCACACAAGGAACTTAGAGGCAGGCAGTTAAGGTGCCCACAGAGGAGGCGCTATTTCCTAAAGGCAAGAGAACAGAGAGAGCTAAGATGTGACCTGGCCCCACCAGGTGGCATAGGCCTAGCTTGTGGTGTAGTGGAGAGAGTGGACACTGGCCTGCTTTCAACCCCCTATCTAGCTCTGCCATTACTGGAGGGGCTGCTGGGGCTCAAGTTTCCCATGCCTATACAATCCCTACCTCACACTAGCATTGCCCAGTGCCTGCCACATGACCAAACCAGTGCTCAGTCACTATTTTTTCCTCCCCTTGTTAACCAGGTCAATTTCCCCTGAGTCATGCACAATTTCATTTGGGGAGGTCTAACGAGTACACTGGTCCCTTCACAGTCCTGGTGGTGGCACAGTCCAGATAATCTAAATTTATAGACACCCACACCCCTCCCTCACAGTTTCAGCCTAGAGCATCCTGGCAGGTGTCTGAAACTTGGTGTATGACTTGGGTCTCCCTGGCAGGTATACCCCATGAGGCCACATCTTCCCATGAGGGGTATACATTCTGTGCCCTCCGTGCCCTCCAAAACCACAACAGCAGCACCAAGTCCTGCAGTGCAAGAAGTGAATGGCCCCAGAACAAGCTTGAGCCTTCTTAAACCACCCCCCAGGTTCTGTTCACCTTCACTCCTCCTTCAGGCTGGCCTATCTCTGGGACCTACGCGGGGAGAGTTGTACTAGGTATACTAGTACAGAAAAGACAGAAGACTTTTTCCAATCTCTTTATCACATGACCACTATTTCAAATCCTATTCCTGGGGCACCTGGGTGGCTCAGTGGTTGAGAATCTGCCTTTGGCTCAGGTCATGATCCCGGGGGGCCTGGGATTGAGTCCCACCCACATCAGGCTCCTTGTGGGGAGCCTGCTTCTCCCGTTGTCTGTATCTCTGCCTCTCTCTCTCTCTCTCTCCTCTCTCTCTCTCTCTCACGAATAAATAAAATCTTAAAAAAAAACCCTATTCCTGCCCCTATCCCCAACCTCACCCTCAGGTTGGCACCCTCTTCCTGTCCCTTAATGAGGCTGTGAACAAACCAAAGGCACAACACCCACCCTCAGGGGAGTAATGGCCAGCAGAACTACATGGCATTTCAGTGGAAAGAATCAGACTTAAAGCAAGGTTCCTTGAGCTGTAGGAACCCTGTGGGCAAGCCATCCTGTCTAATGATCAGGACAAAGTAGCTCATAGTCTAGGCTTCATGAGCTGAAACTGATGAAGTGGCTGCTCACTACAAAGTTATAAGGATAATGGGAAAACAAAGAGCCAGAATGTTCTTTTGTCCTGTCTTTCCCTCCTACTGAATATACTTGCCCAGACTGTTACAATTATCTCCACCTATTGAAAGAATGACAGAGGTCTTCTTTGTAATCTTGTTCTCCGCAAAATACTTAAGATACAGCTTTAGAAAACATGTATATATCATTTTGTTATGTGTACTAGATATAATTATGTAGTCATATATTATATCTGTAATTATATAAATATGTTACTATAAATAAATAAGTATATATATAGGATGCCCACTGGTACTCGATCCTGTTCCTACACACCCTGTACCTCGCTTTCAGGTAGTTACCTCTGCATTGGATTCCTCCAGCCTACATTTCAGCCCCTCTGGTTGCACGGCCATGATCTTCCAACAGTGCCTTAGGTGACTCTGGAGAAGCAAGGCTGCCCCTTTGTGACATAGCAGCAGGAGAAACAATCCAGTCAGGAGAACCCCACCAAGGAAACGGCTGCTTAGCAGGACAATACCTGAGACTCTCCAGACTGTCAAGACTTCATCTGTTTACAGGCCTCCTTTCTGAGTTCCCCTTCCACTCTATCTTTGTATACAGCAGGCCTCAATTCCCTTGGCACCTCCAAATCACCCTGTACCTCTTGGTCCACGTCCTGGGCTTTCTACTCATGGATTCAGTCATATGCATTTGGTTCCAAGTCTCAGTTCTAATTCTCTCCCAGAAATCCAGAATGGTTGTACAATAGCAAGCACCAAAACATTGAAGTCTGGGAAGAATGTGGCTTACTTCAGAGTGTCATAGAAACTGTAAGCCTTATGAGGGCTGAGAGGTCTTACCAGGTCACCGAACCCACCTTCCTCATTTGAGGGATGACAAACTGAAGACCCAGAGTAGCTAAGTGAATTCCCCTTGGCACACAGCTAGTTGGCAACTAGAGGTCCTGACTACCCTGTTCATTCTACAAGATCTTGCTACAGTCTTGAAAGAGGAGGGTTATTCTGGCTACAAGGAAGTTGCACCCTTCTGTGATTATCCCTACCTGAGGCAGAATCACATTGATTGGAATTTCTAGGCTTTCAGATCTGGTATCTTGTTTTCTTGTAATATTTGGCGTCGAGTGCTGTGGGAAAAGAGAAAATAAAACGATTTCTGCTTCCCAGCCCATCCTCTGAGCTTCAATTGCTCAGTCTGAAAAACAGATGACTTTCTATTCACTTATCCCCTCTTGTCAACTATGTACATTATGAAAATAGTATCTTAAAAGATCCTTATCAATCTCTAGACAGAAATTAAGACAGATTTTATAGTTGGTGTTAAAAACCTTCCAAAAAGTCTTTGGAGCAGAGATACCCATACCAAATACCTTTTCTAAGGTTATTACTTCTATCTCAAGTAAAAAGCCATACCAATGTTAGGTGCCAGGTATAGGTCCTATGTAGGAGTTGGTCACCAAAACACTCAGAACATTCCAGAGGTGACATCACAAAAAAATATGGTGTTTTTCAGGGCTCATGGTCTCTCTGAGCATCACAGGTGGGAATGAGGCACCTGGCAGGAAGAGTCACCCTGGTTATGTCTACCTGGCTGGTCAGGGTCAGTGTGACACACAATAACCCAAACATTAGCCCCCTATTTGGTCATCTTTGTTACTATTCATATCCCCACTGCCTGGCTGGGCTGTAAGCCCTACCTTCTCTCTAGAGCTAGCATCTTCTACTTGGAGTTGTATCACTCAAAAAGGGAGAAATCCAAATTGAACTCATTTCAGACCAAGAGAAGCCACGGAGTCTGAGATATTTTCTGACACCAACCAATTCTCCAATTCTCTGAGGCCAACTGTATGTCCTATAATTCAATTCAATTCTTAGACAATGTACCTGGAGTGGGTGTCAGGTCACCTAAGTTACAGGGCTCAGTCCCACAAGACTGCCTACACCAGACTTTAGACACCAGTCACAACTCTCAGGCCACCAGTATTTCTGAATGACCAGCTATGAATTGGCGGGGGTCCTACAAACCCCTCCTCACCTCTGTAATTTGCTAGGATAGCTAACAGAACTCAGGAAAACACCTTACTTACAATTACTTTTGTTATAAAAGATGCAGCTCAGAAACAGCCAAATAGAAGATGCTTAAGTCAAGGTATAGGGGGAGAAGGACATGGAGCTTCCACACCCTCACAGGTCATACCATCCTCCCAGCTTCTCCATGTGTTCACCAACCCAGAAGCTCTCCTAACCCTATTAAGGGTTTTTATGGAGGTTTCATTACCTGGTCGAGTTTGATTAAATCACTGGCCATTGGTGATTAAAGATTTCCAGCCCAACCCACCCCCCATCCCCCATTTCCCAGAAGTGGAGAGGTGAAATACTTGAAAGTTCCCAACCTCTAATCACATAGTTGATTCTTCTAGCAACTAGTGCCCATCCTGAAGCCATCTAGGGGCCACCAAGGGTCACTTCATTAGCATAAAGTCAGGTGTGTTCGGGGGGCACTCCTTGTGAATAATAAAATCCTGCTTTAAATTCTTTTGGATATATACCCAGAAGTGGGATTGCTGGATTATATACAGTTTTATTTTTAATTTTTTGAAGAATTTCCATACTGTTTTCCCATAGCTGCTGTGCCATCCTTTTACATTCCCATCAACAGCTCACAAAGGTTCCAGTTTTTCCACATCCCTGTCAAAGCTTGTTTTCTGTTTCTCCAAGGGTTTCTAGTGATTAACTCTCACACCGTTGGAAAACTCAGTTCAGCTTTCCCTTATAGATGCACCTCATAGAAGCACCTGTACATCGCCCTTGGGCGCTGATCTAGGAAATCTAAACAAAGAGGGAACTAGCCGTGCTCATCTCCTGGGGGTGCCCAAACAAAGGACCATGAAATGGGGACACCTGGGTGGCTCAGCAGTTAAGCATCTGTCTTCGGCTCAGGGCATGATCCTGGGGTCCAGGATGGAGTCCCACATTAGGCTCCTTCCTTGTGGGGAGCCTGCTTCTCCCTCTGCCTGTGTCTCTGCCTCTCTCTCTGTGTCTCTCATGAATAAATAAAATCTTAAAAAAAAAAAAAGGACCATGAAATTAATGGCTTAAAACAACAGAAATTTATTGTCTCACAGTTCTGGAGTCCAGAAGTCAAAATCATTGGCAGGACCATGCTCCCTCTGAAACCTATAGGGGAGAACCGTCCTTTGCCTGTCCCCTGGCCTCTGAGGGTTGTTCACAATCCTTGATCCTCCTCAATTTGCATGTGCAGCACTTACATCACTGCCTCCACCTTCACATGGCCTTCTCCAGACATGTGTCTACAACTGTTGTCTCCTGGAGACAGCAGTCATACTGGATTAAGGTCCACCCCATTCTAGTAAAATCTCATCCTAATCACATCTGTAAGGACTCTATTTCCAAATAAGGTCATATTCTGAAGCATTGGGGGCTTTTAACTTCAACATATCTTTTGGGGGTTGGAGGATACAATTCAACCCATAAGAGAAGCTAACACTGAACACCTAATGAGCACAGCAAGGTGCCAGATACTTTATTTGTGCTATTTTACTTAATCAGAGTCATTGGCACATATATCAAGTCCTCCCCCCTTGGTTATTAGCCCATCCTTGAGGTCTCTAAGACCATTGCCCTGGCCCATCTCCAACAGGTTCACTTGAACCCCTCCCGCCCACAAAAGATAGCTCTAGTGCCAAGGAGCACAGCTCTTCCCTGCAAGGCTCCTCCTGGACCAAGGTATCTGGTAGTAAGCCTTATGTATTTTATTACTATTGTATGTATTATATGTTATTCTTATTTGTTATGATTTTCGTTTTGTGACTTTTGCCCGGTCTCAGCCATCCTGCTTGGCCATGTTCCACCCAGTGTAGCAAAATCCTTACCTCTGTCCTGAGGCCATCTCTGCATAAAGAAACACCCCACCCCTTTTTAAGCTCCTCTTGGCTTCTTACTGTGACACACTCCCCCCCCAGAATGATACCCATGACCTCAGGAGAAACAAGATATAATTCATCCTAGAAAGGAAGTCTTGCTATTAGATGATCACAGAAACTCCCAGGATCCAGATGATGGTGGAAATCATTCCTTTTTCCATTTCAGTGCCAAGTGGTCCAGCAGAGTTCTCCTCTAATGGGTATCTGGGGACCTTTCTTTTTGTGGGTTCCCTCCGCCCTCACCTCTGCTTTAGTCCTCTGCCTTTATTGTGCTAAGAGGCCTGGCTCCAGGTGAAGGAGTAGCCACCATACTGTGGCTGATAGTGATGGCTCTCACAGCATGACAGTGACTCATTATCCCATCATCTGAACACAGATCCTCTCTCCCCATCCATCTTGCAAGGGGGAGTGCTGGAGAAAGGGAAGAAAACGAATGGACACATGGACTGTCCTACCACATTAGCAGAAAAACAACTTCTTTTATTGAACCCAAAGGAAGGGTACTGATAATAAATGAGGATGATTGGGCGCCTGGATGGTGCAATCAGTTAAGCATCCAACTCTTGGTTTCAGCTCAGGTTGTGATCTCAGGGTTGTGAGATTGAGCCCATGTCTGGCTCCGTGCTCAGCACAGAACCAGCTTGGGATTCTCTTCCTCTTCCTCTGTCCCTCACCCTGCCCCCAGTATTCTGTCTCCATCTCTCTCAAATAAGTAAATAAATCTCAAAAAGAATAAGGAGGAGAAATGAGGATGCAAATAGCCAGGTCATGGACATTAGTATTAGCAGTGTGGAAATCTGGAGACCAAGAATTAGTTACTTACTGTATGTCTTAGCATGTCTTAACTCAGTGTATCACAACAAAATGCCACAGACTGAGTAGCTTAACAAATACTTGGGGCGCCTGGGTGGCTCAGTTAAGTGGTTAAGCCTCTGCCTTTGGCTCAGGTCATGATCTCCAGGTCCCAGGATGAGCCCCACGTTGGGCTCCCTGCTCAGCGAGGAGTCTGCTTCTCCCTTTCCCTCTGCCCTTCTGCTTGTGCTTGCTCTCTTTCTCTCTCTCTCTCTCAAATGAATAAAATCTTTTATTTATTAAGTATTAAAATAAATACTTATTTCTCACAAGTTCTGAGGCTGGGAAGTCCAAGATCAAGGTATTAGCTGATTTGGTTCCTGGTGAGAACTGCTTCCTGGCTTGCAGACAGCTACCTTCTCATGGTGTTCTCACAGAGAGAGTGTTCTGATCTCTCCCTCTCTTATAATCCCACCCTCAAGACTTCACTAAACCTAATTACCCGCCAAAGGCCAAACCTCCAAATATCATAACATGGGGATTAGGGCTTCAACATACGAATTTTGGAAAGACACATTCAGTCTCTACACATGTGACTTGGGCAAGTCACCCCACCTCTCAGAAGTTCAGTCTCATCTCCAAAAGGAGTAAATGATATGTAATTTGAGATAACATACATAAAGAAGCTGACACTCAGCAAGTTCTCAATACTCACTGCCTCAGAGCCCTTTTACGAAATTGTCTTGCTCCTTTTGACTTAAAATCTCAAGCAGCTGACACACAATTGGCGCTGCTGTTACAAAAAAGTCTTGATACTACAACTTCTGCGAAGGCTCTATGGTTGCCAGATTGATAGGGTTTTTTTGTTTTTAAGGGAGAGCATTTGGAACAGGGCCATCCTAGTACTGGCATCTACAGTTGCCTATTAGCTGGACTCCTTCCCTCTCCAAACACACGTACCCATGACTCAGTACGGAGAAGCTTCCTTGAGATTGCACCCAAAATGCCTGTTATTACTCAGATTAACACTGTCATCAATCATCCACGTTCCATGAGCATCCACAATTGGTGGACGCTACACGGAAAATGGAGGTAGACATGCCTCATGGGTGTCTAATCTAAACAGAGCAGAGCCAAAGGAAAGGGCAAGCATGCATCTAAGACTCTTCAGGCTTTCCTCACCTGCAACTATTGGATGATGAATCACAGAGAAAAATTCATTGTGCAGGAGGGTCCATTAGAGAGCACGGGGCCCCTTGCCCTTCCCCATAGAGTCACAGAAACTGCAGCTGTTGGTCCTGGAGTCAGGTGGGCAAGGGGTGCGGGGTACATTATGGCCTTTCTCTCCTCATTGGTGGAGATGGGGATGAAGGTTGGATGCATTTAGTAATTTGTCACGATGCCTGTCATCTCCAAATCACATGACATGATTTGCAATGATGTGTTATTTTTGCTACATAGGGCAGGGTAGCTCTACTTTGGCACCAGAAGAGCAGCCTACGTATAGCCAGGCTTTGGCCAAACTCTTTAGGGACAGCTGGGAGCCCTCACCTTTTGAGGAAGCAGAAGGCAGCAGCCAGGGAGTGCAAGAAAGGCTGCACTCCAAAGTTCGAAAGATAACCAGGATAAGTAAATCCTTGAAGCCAGAAAGGAGATCATGTGCTAGACTGGTCCTCAGAAGTAGGGCCGAAACTTGCAAATCTCTAGAGCTACAAGACATCCTTACAACCAGACTTTTCCTTCTGAATCCAG